GCAAAGATCAATGAAGTCTAGAGAGATGAGATATGAACTAGGCCTGGAAATTGGATAGAAATTTCAGAGTTTTAATAATAAAGTAAACTAACAGTAAAGAAAGTGTTGATGTAGTGAACAGATGCACATATAAATGAATAAATGTAATCTGAGCCTTCCTAAATTATCCTTCATGTAATTACATAAGTATAAATGTAGCATTGGTAGAAGAACTAAGATAGTTATCTGGTAGGTATTTCATTCAACATTTGAAAATGGTCCATGTGACAAAGGTGATAAGAGATCTAGAATACAAATCCATGAGAAACGGAATCTTGTCTTTCTTGTATGACGGCACATCATCTGTGCTAAGGAGTTTGGTTATAGAGGTGGACAAGGTGGATTCTGAGCAAGAGATGAAATGAGTGATTATAAAGTGATAGGAATAAGAGCAAAATAACAGCAAAATCACTGGCTTAAACCACTGTGCATGGAAAAGTAGGAGTAACAAATATTTGTAACACTTTATGATCTTGAAAGATTTTCACTTCCTACATAATTTTATTCTCAAAATCCTTAAAATTTATATACATTTCTCATCTTTTCCGTCCTTTTTCTCTTTCTCCTTCTTCTCTTTTCTTTCTCTTCCTTCTTTTTCCTTGTGTGTCCTTAAAATATTGGACGTTGAACTCCATCACAGTTGTTCCTTCCTATCCATTTTTAAAATTTATTTATTTATTTATTTATTTATGTTATGACTTCCTGTTTGAATAAAGAATGGACCACATCCTTGTAGCAAATCAAGTGTCAAATTATAAATCAGATATTTATTGACTTGCTAAGTAACCAGCCTTTAAAAACAGATAAGTTTAAAACTTACTTCTCCTGTATCTGACACCCAATAACAATCTCTTATTGTCAATTATTTGATCCCAAATACATTTTCTACTAATTTCTGCCTGTGAGAAAGTAGGAATAAGAACTAACAAACTGAATGCTCTGAAAGGTAATGTGGTTTCTTGCGATAGATCATGCAGTGTCCTTTCTCTTTCTTTACTACTGAAAGCAAATCTCATGTCCTGATCCCAAATATCTCTTTTACCTGTGTTCCGATCAATGGTCCAAAGTTTTAAGTTGGAATATTGACTCTGACCTTTCCCCAGATATATAGATCCTGGCTATGTATACTTTTGAAAATTGTGCAGATGGTCAAACTTCTGAAGAGAAATTGCTAGTGATATTTTTCTTACTGTACATTTCATAAAAACTGATAAAACTGCTTACTACCATAGCAGTGTTAGTCCTAATTCAATCAGTTCTTCAGCCATAGAGTGAACCGTGAGGAGGAGTATGTACACTGAATTGATCCCAGGGTACAAACTGATAAGGAGCCAAATGTAGATGATGATTATTTTAGAACTTTTCTAAAAAAGAACAATAGATAATGACTAGATGGCAAAGGGGAAGTGCTTCCAAGAGGGAGGAAGCCCTATAAATAAATATGTGAAACTAAGACATTATATTTGGGAAATAAAGCATTGCAAAGAAATATCTGATTGTAAGCAGGTCTATTATGTGGCCATTTGGGGAACACAAAATTGTGCATTTGATATCTTGTGTTAAATTCGGAACAAATACGGTTACTCCAATGAGTCCCCACATGCAAAACTCATAGTATAGTGATCATCAGTTATATTGACTAAAAATAGGAAGAACTAGATCAAAGTATCAAAGGAAGAATTATTTGAAGAGTAATGTTTGGAGTATTTGAGATTTAAATATCAGATAGGTTAAAAATAATGAATTTCTCAAACTGGGAATGTTAACACAACACTCCACCTAAAAGCTGTTACTTCCGGGGTCAATGATTTCCTTTCCTATTATGCATAGTTCTCAGACTGGGAGAGCATAGGGAGCAATTTTACATTTACAGAAAATTTTCATTGAACTGTTGTTCCCAGTCAGTATTTGCATTGCTCAGACGCTGTATTAGGATCCATTTCTGAACACCGGACTTCCAGTAACACAGAACTCTGCTACCCACAAATTAGGAAAGTATGATATAGAAGGCTCTGTACTTTACTGCACAGCAAGCATCACAGAGTACATCTCATAGCAGAAAAGAAGCAGAGGGAGGAGGTAAGCCTTTCTCTCACAGATAATAGTCTAATCTTAGCTTAGAATATATTAATGCTTTTATTCAAGTAAATAATGAATATCATGTTGACCTGGATCCAGCTCTGCTAAAATTATTGAGAGAGAGAGACAGAGACAGAGACACAGAGAGAGACAGAGGGACATACCTTAAAACAGCAGACTCTCCACCCCTCTTATGTACTGGAAAACTCAACAAAATTTAATCAAACAGCTAAGAATGGAACAAGGCACAAGCAGAGTGGGCACTGCCTTTGAGGACACTGTAGGGAGTAGGGTGATTCCAGAACTTTAGGGAAAGCAACAAAGACTAGAACAAATATGTGCAAGAAGTTCTAAAGGACAAAGTGAACTTATGAAAGATCAATATTCAATTCAATAAATCTGAAAAGTCTTTCATGAGTTAAACAAAATTCACTTCTGTCACCCAAGGTTCTGTGTGCATAGTGCACATTGCAGTCAGCTGAATACTTGGATAAGAGACATTTCAGTGAGGTATTATGTAGGTAGATTGTTTCTAGAGGGAGAATTATGAAATAAATGATCCAGAGCTCCACCATGAACTCAACCGGAATTGGTTATGGCAGAGTAAATGCAGAGGTGTGGAAACACTTGAGGCAATTGTCACTTGATTGATGACACTAAAGTTAGTAAAAATTAAGTTTTGGAAGTTAGAAACAAAACTTAAAATAATCTTTTGTAGATGTGGGAATTGGACAGGTTGGTAATGATATAATAAAACTACAATATAAATAAGAAATTTTCAAAATGACAGCTCTAAGTATTGACTATTTGTATTAGATGACACTTGTTGGTTATCATCCTACATTAGGAAGGGAGTTTGAAATGCCCAGATGACATCATCTCTGCTTCTCAACTGTGATACTGTAAGTGGGAGAGGGAAGGTATTAATCACGTGACTAGTTTAAGCAAGATAACAAGATGCTGGAGTAGCATATGAGCTCTGCAAAGATGAATGTCTCCTGTAGTATTAAAGAGTAAGCTGAAAAGTAAGAATATGGCAGCAAATTAAAGCACATTTAAAAAGACATAGGGAAGCAAAAGACACAGTGAAACAAGGGCATGGTGATACAATAAAGAGAAGGAGCAGACAGATGTTGAATTTTGCTAGGATTGGGGAAAAGGAAGAGAAGAATTAGTTCATTTGTCAGTTATTAACAGTAGAAATGCATTTCTTTGATGCAAACAAGTGCCAAAGAGACCAATATAATCTCTTGAGCATTTTTAATGCTTTAATAATATACTTGTAAATATTTTAAAAGACGTAATTTGTTGTAAAACATCTGGCCAAGTAAATTTGGATTCAATTTTCTTAAACTATATCAAGCATATTAGAAAATATTTCAAGAAATATACAACTATAGTCAAGTTCCTAAATAGTTTTGTTTTACCTCTTGGATAACTGCTAAAGGAAATGGTAGTTTAAAAAATCTAATCATTAAAATGCTGGTATGATTCACATTTTAAAGATGGGAACATTATTAAATAATATGAACATGACTTTTTTCAATTTTCAGCATGGGTCCCTAAGTACCTCTAGATTGATTTGTGAAGCTGGAAAAAAAATAACACCACCACCTTCTTTAACTCCAATACTCAAACTGATAAAAAATTGCAACAATCTCAAAACAGGCTGGAAAATCCATGGCCGTAGAAAGAAAAGAATCAGGAAATACAGCCAAAAACCTAATACATTAGCCATCAAAGTTAAAAGATCATTCATCAAATGTAAAGGAAGAGTAGATAAAAGATTTGTCATATGAAAAAAGACAGGCTTTTGAAAGAAAGGGAAATTAGCAGATGACACTGTGTAGAGTGTCAAAGACAAATAATCCGATAACTAAAAATAGTGATTTCAAGTTATTTCCTAAATGAATATTGGTAGTATATTTATTTATATAATATATATGATGTATGTGCATGGATTTACTCTCATTTCTGAAAAATCTAATGCTATGCATTAATGATTCAGAACACTAATAAATTGTCATCCTAGGTGGTATACCTGTAGAAACAAACTTTTTCTTTTACTTATAACATTTCATTATTATAATTAAAGCATTATGAAGCATTAATATAATTTTAATTTTACTCTCATTATTCAAGGGCATATAGAAAATCTTTTGTGTAGAGAGGGCCAGATGAACAGTTTTACCTGAATTTATCTTTTTTAGGTGTCATAAAAAAATATTGTCTGATGTCAAGCATAAGCACCAACATCTGTATTAGAGGACAGAGACCTTTGGTTAGGTGGCGGAGGGCAGGTGGGGACACCAAGATGGTGGAAAGAAGGTGGGCACAAATTGATATCAGAAAAACAGAAGCTCTTTAGCTTTGGATGATAACTTTAGCTTAATTTCTTCATGTAGAAAATGAAGTCAATGAGATTTAAGGAACTTACAATTTAACAAACTACCAGACTAATACCATGTGGCTTTTTTTCCCAACAGGTAAATATAATCTTAATATTCACTTTGTATCATGCTTTGGAAATAGTTAACCCAGATTGAATATTTGACCTGTGAAATGTTGATTTGCAAATTAATATGCTGAATATATAATATATACATATATATATATATATAGTATATTCCAAAAGAAGTCGTGATTATTTTGTCAAGCTGAAAAGCAAACTTAAAATACTACAGATTTATTTGAAAAATGAAGTTCATATGATAAACATGAATAAAATTACTCTGCAAGAGCTACTTACTTCTTTGGATATATCAGTGGATTGTCATAATGACATGGCATCATACATACCCTTTATGACCATGTCTGAGATATCTCAGTGTGATTCCCATTCAGATGTTTTCCTATGGTGAAACCATATGTCATACAGACTTTCCATATAATTGGCCTAGACAAGCTGGTCAACATGTTTCCATAATATGTAAATCCACCTTTGACTCATTTAAGACAACTAATTACTAGAAATGAGAAGCATGGTGATTTCCAATATATCTGGAGAAGAATATTCTGGGTAAATTGCTTCCCATGAATTTTGCCTCATAAATTAAGAGTGTTTTAAAATTTTCCTAAGAGAGTTAAATGAGGAATATGATTGAGACTCTAAAGAAACTCCATTCTATCAAGTACATTAATAAGGTATTCAAAAATATATCAATCTTCCTCTGTGTTTGTGTCAAATAGGTATTAATAGTTTATTAGATATGACTTAAAATAAGGACAGAAGTTTAGGTACTCTTAAATTTTGCAATTTTTTAATACTTCAAAAAATTAGAGGTCATTCATATATTATAAAATTAGTTTTATTGTGCATTTTAACAGTTTTAATGCGCTTATGTTAAATTCATTCACTATTAACTTCATTGCTGTGCTCATTTTAAAGCAATCATAGATGTATATAAAGACATTTAATAGCATGCCTCTTTTTTCCTGTTTTGAGATTTGTTTTTCAGAACAAATAGTAACATGTCATGCAGCTATAAAGAAAATAAAAAAGGCAAAAAGAGCATTTCTGCACAGCACTTCAAGGTAATTTGGAAAGTCACAGGTTCATCATATAAATAATGGCTTCTGAGATTTGATCCTTAGAGTTTCATAAAAATAAATTGCTTTTCAATAGTTAGTGCTGAAGCATTCATTAAGAGAATGAATTCTAGACACAAGATGAGTTAAGTGCTACATAGAAATATTTTTAAAGGTACATGATAAATGGCAAACATTAACGACCTGATTTGATTTTGTATAATCTTTCAAGAGTCTTAGGAATAAACTTATTGTGCTTATGACTGTTAAGTGTGTTTCTGAGGCATAAGAAATGGTCATTTCTCCATTTTTACCTTTCCCTGACTGTGCTAACAATAGCTGTACAACTTCAAGCTACTTGACTTCAGGGAAAAGTGCTATGCAGCATCAGGATTAGCTCCAAGATGAAAGCAATATTTATTAGGGTCATAAATGCTAAAATGGCCCATGTTTACTACTTAATCTCAAGATTAAAGGTGTTGACAAAGATGGTTACTATGTTTTTTAAAAAGATGGCTTCTACTTATGACAAGTAACAACCAGCGTGTTATATGTAATAATTATGTTTTAATGTGATCTTTTCAGGTCCAAATAATGTGAAATCTTTCTTCTCATTTTTAAAGAAGGAGTTATGGTGGTGGTAGTTGGTGGGGGGTGATTTTGAAAATTGTCAGTTACCCGCTAAACAGTTAGAAAGTGACCTTCATACTTGCTACTGATGGACCGCTAAATTTATCATTTATCAGTGCACTCTGGAGTAATGTGAAATTTCCACAATGGGCTATCAGTAACTCAGCTGACCTCGGTAGGATATTACAAGAAATTCTTTATCACACTTTGAAGGATAGCAGAGTGCTGTAGTATTCTGAACTCGAACACTAAAAAGAGGCAAAAGCACTTGCACTGCCCCTTTGATCTGACATTACTTTAAAAAAGTAAAACTAGAAAATAGCTTCCTTATTTTTCCGCAGAGATCTGTCTAGTTGCTCACAAAGTATTGGCTTTCACCTGATGCCACAGTCAGCCTTCAGTGAATTAAGTACAGAGCCTGAATCCCAGCTTTCTAGTCTCTCGTTGTAACTAAAAAATTCCGCAATCTCTCTCCCCTGGCATTGCAGTCTTCCCTTCCTTGCATTGCCTTGCTTTCCTTATAACAAATTCTCTGTGACTGATAACGCAAAGCAAAAAGCAAAGTAAAATGGGAAAAGAACAGTATAAATTTTATCTATCTTGTTGCTTTTTTAGAAAAATCACAGATCAATCCACTGGGGTACACATAGTTGGAAATTTCACTTCAAAGTATGGAATTTATGGCATTTCATGATTTTGTCCTCCATTTTGAAGGTATTTGGGATAAAAGGTGACATATGAAAATAAATTGAAGGCAATTCATCTTGATAACTATATCCTTGATTGTCCTGGTAAGAAAATGATGTTTAATGTTATGATTAGAATATTTTCTATAATGGTATGATCATTTCATTTCCTGTTAGAAAAGGTAAGAAAATGTTCTTGTATATGCTGTCAAACATTTCAATTTTCTAAGCTATGTTCTGAGGCATTTTGATTTCATTACCTTAATTTGAGAATATGATATGTATAATATGATCTAAGTATACACACTCTAGGAGATGAAATTTGTTTAATTTTCATTTTAACTAAATTAATGTGACTTTACTTCCTTCTTCTGATAATTACATAAACCTCCTCATGTGGGTTAAAAAACGTGAAAGAACTTTAACTTCAGGAATAGGAGTATAAAGTAGGACCTAATGCAGGTGCTGAAGGTTGGAGTGGTGAAGATGATGAAGTTAAAGTGATTGCTTTTGGAAGAAGGGGAACTTCCTACATTCTAAATAAAATAGAAAACCTCTCTCTTTTAACTTCATGGTGATAAAATCATGATAATAATTATAAATGATAAAAAATACCAGACTTCTTTTCCAGAAAAATAACCTACTTTCCAGCTAAATTCTTGCTAATTGTGCATGACAGAGTTAAATAGCTTTATAGACCTTATGCATAAAAAGTCAACATTTCAGTAGCTAGCTGAAGACTACACATACGACAATAAAAGCAAAAAAGTGTGATCATAATAGAACATCCCAAGCATAATCTAAGTGTTTTAAGCTTAGCCTTAAAAACACTTACTTAGCCTATACTAGCCTACCAGATTTCCCCATTTCACAGATGAAATAATTAATGTTGTTTTAGTTAAGAAACTTATCATTATTACAGGAAAGTAAATTATGGAGCCAGGATTCAAACCCAAGCAATCAACCAGCAAGATTCATTGCCATTTTGAACTATGCACATGTAATCTGTGAGTTTTTCCAGAGGACATTTGGGGGTATCTTATAATTTGATGAACCAAGTTTACACCTTTCAGCATTGAGATTCCCAATTAAGTAGTTGGGCTTCTGTTGCAGAAGTCTTCAGGCAGAGTTAATGCTTTTTAAGTTGGGGTTTAATATTATTTTCCCAGATAACTCTATTTAGAATAAAATAAGATTCTAAATGACAACTAGAGATGGTAGAGGAAATGCAGAAAACAGACAGGGATTAAAATTTTTATCAGAATTGAAACTAGAGAGATTTTTCCCCAGCATCCTAGTTCAAGTTAATCAAGAAATTTACCCAAAATAGAATACCAGAGTTTGGTGGCAGTACTGTATTTTGCAAAGTGAGATGGTAGACAGATACATGACTTGTAAATGCCCTGGACCCTCTCCAGAGCATCCTGTTTGAACCTTGAAAAGCAACATTAGACCAGAGTTCACAGCCCAGGGCACCTAGAGCTCTTTTCCGTGTTGTAGCATGAGTGCAGTGCACACACTAGCAGAGGGAAGCCGAGTCCCCAAGTGGAATTTCTTCAAGGGGGCGGGGGTTTCTCATGTTTGAGGAAGTTAGTAATGGAAAGACACCATTCAAAAACAGTCAGTTCTTTAAAAATATGAATGTTTATTAGAGATTCATCACTCAAGGGCCTGCGATTTCAAAATATACTTTATGAAGATCTCACACTATTAGCCCATTGGTCAAGTTCAGTCTATAGAATTACTTTATTTTGACTCCATAGTACTATAAGCTATATTGAAATGATTTCTCATTTTAAAAATTTTCACATACATATATGGATGGCAAGTATTTTATTAGGAATTAATGAAGGTAATGCATTTCTATATAACAAGAATTAACATCATTAGGGTTCAATATTATGTCTGCAGCCATGAAACCTAACATTCCCACACATAGTTTACTTTACACATTATTGTTAACTGCCAGCCACTTGGGCTTTTAAGTCCAACCTTGTCAGTATCTGCTTCTCATTTCATTTCTACTGATGATGTTAATACTGGAAATGACCTCTATACTTGGTTCATCAAATTATAAGATACCCCCGAATATCCTCTGGAAAAGCTCACAGATTACATGTGCATAGTTCAAGACGATAATGCATCTTGCTGGTTGATTGCTTGGATTTGAATCCTGGCTCCATAATATACTTTCCTGTAACAATGATAAGTTTCTTAACTAAAACAACATTAATTATTTCATCTGTGAAATGGGGAAAACTGGTAGGCTAGTATAGGCTAAGTTTAGGCTAATATGAAGTGCAGGTGTACGCATGTGTGTGTGTGTGTGTGTTATAGTGATCCTCTATACATATATATATACACATGGATTCTGCAATCCAAGAGTCAATGAACTGTGGATTTAAAATATTTGAGAAAATGAAAGAAACTGCACCTGTATTGAACATGTACAGATTTTCATTACCCCCTAAACAGTATGGTAAGTGACTATGTTAATATGCTGAATATTTTAGTTTTAAGAAAAGTATCACAGTAAAAAAAATTTCCCCTTCAAAATACTCTCTCTTTTTCCCTGTCTTGCTTAAGACACACATATTCTATCATTCTCGCCACTCTCTGAAGCTGTTCTGGAAGTCCTCTTTTGTATCTTACAAGGTGTGATCAGATAGATGGGGAGTGCTGCTTGAGAGAGCCACCCAGTGGGAAGGCAGGCTTGTGAGGCCATTACACACGGTCCTCACCCACCTCCCTTCACTGGATCTGGCATTGTGCAGCTTCTGGCTCTTTCCTCAAAGTTCAAATGACCATGAAAGGTAATCATTTTGAATCTATCAAGGTAGGACATTGAGGCAGATATTTCATCTCAATTAAAGACACTCACAAAAGAGGACTTCCAGAACCACTTCCAAAAGTGGCAAGAATGATGGGATAAGTGAGCTTTAAGCCAGGGGCAATATTTTGAGGGGGGGGTTAAGAGCAATATGTCTTTTAAAGTGATCATTCTTTTTCATTTAAACATTCACTATATTTTTCGATCAGACCTTAAACATTGTGTTAGTTATTATAACTAAACCAGAGATGAGTCAAAATAGAAGAAAGAGATGCATAGAGTATATGCAAATACTATACCATTTTATCTAAGAGTCCTGAGCATGGAAAAGTTTTGGTATCCACTAGAGGGGGCAGGGATCCTGAAACCAACCCCCTAGGAATAGGAGAGATAACCATATATGCATTCGTACATTATGTATCAATTTGGTATCATTACGATTGTTCCCCACTTTCAGATGAAAGTTGTAATCTTCCATTCTAACTTGAGTTCATACTAATATTTGCAGATAATTCAACAAAGTACCTGCCATATTATGAGCCCCAATGTTCTCAGGGATATAGCTTAGTTGTTTATTTGTTTGCTTGTTTACTTGTTAATTAACTATACTAAGCAACTCTACAATGACTAAAGACCTGGACAATCAGTAGCAGGATTAATCTGTTACAGCAATACCTATGTTAATATCCCTAGAAGAAAGGAAGCATGCCATATAGGATCTATGTCAGGGTCAAAACTAGGACATCCTGTTAACTAGGAGAGTTTTAAATGGTTTAGGCAAATAAATGTTATTAATATTTTCTACTGTGATACTTATTTCCATACTATTCTAGGATTGAACTTATGCCTTTTTGAACAATCTGAAGTCAATTACATTCTTTTGGGGGGGGGTTACCAGGGGTCGAACTCAGGACCTTGCACTTGTGAGGCATGTGGCGGAACCACTGAGCTAAATCCCCAGCCCAAATACATTCTTTTTTTTTAAACAGAAACAACAGGAGCCAAAGTAGTATCAGTAAGGCAGTGATCTGCAGAAGCATTTGCCTTTGGAACTGAAAAAACCCATAGAGTCTGGCCGTTCTCACTCAAGGGCTGGGCAGTCAGCCCATCTGACACTGTTCTCATTTTGACAGTAAAACCTGCCATCTAACCCAAGTAAAATGGCAAGTCAGGTAACAAGAGCTCTGTAACCCTAGGGAGGGGATTTCTTAGAAATGGAATCACACAGAGCTTCTTTCTTGTATACTCAGACAAGGACAAAAATTGCGACAAATTAATTAATTAATTGTTTTCTTATATGAAAAGCTATGCTGCAACAGGCCTTGTCTCTAACAAAAAGCTGGTTTGAACACAGAAAACGGAAGTCCTAGAAAAACGTTTGACAAAAACAGTTGCTTGAGTAGCTCCTCACAAATGCAATGTGAAAACCCTATCTTGCAATTTCTTTTCCTTTTTCTTTTTTTCTTAAATTCTTTTATTGGTAAATTGTAGGTAGACAACACAATTACATTTCTCATTGGGAATTGTACCTTTAAATGATGCATCTTGGTTCTTATTTTTTCCCCATTCCTAGCCCTCCCTTCACCCCCTCCACCCTGCTCTATTTACAAAGACTTTATTTCCATTTTCTCCAT